GGAGGCAGGCACCGGCCGTCCCGCCGCGGCCGGGCTCCGAGACGGTGCGGGGGCAGACGCGGCATCCCTTCGGGTTCGGGCAGGTGCCCGAAAACTGGCGTGAGGGACCGGTGGGCGACACTACCGCCTCGCAACGGGTACGGCCTGCCGGCCGCTCGCGCCAATCCTCCTCCTCCTCCTCCTCCTCCTCCTCCTCCTTCGCCTACGCCTCCGTCGGGCAGCCGGCGTACCCCCAATTCCCCTTCGCCCCCCAGTACGAGCCCTACGAGGCACCCCGGGCGTACGACGAGGCGTACACCTATTACCGCAGCACCGGCACCGGCGGGGCGGCCGTGGCTTCGGCGGCGGCAAGCGCCAGCGTGGTGTACCCCTTCCAACCCCGGGCACGCTACGAGGACTACGGGGAGGAGCAGAACCCCTATAGAGCCCAGGGTTACTACCCGGCGGCCGAACGCCCCTACGTGCCCGCTGCCCCCCAACCAGTTGATGGGCTGGACCGCCGGTACTCCCATAGCTTGTACCACGACACGGGGGGCTCACCAGAGCAGGGCAGCCAGGACTCGTACGCCAACCAGCAACCCGCCAGCCACGGCATCGCAGCAGCGGACAACCTACAACCTCCCGCCGGGACGGGGTACGGGGGCCAGTACCCACCCTACGAGCCACAGCCGCCTTTTCGGGCGCTGGAGCCTTATGGCGTTCCTCGCCCCGAGCCCTTCCTGCCTGCCAGGAGCCCTGAAATGCCACAAGCTGTGCCCGATAGCCAAGCCCGGGTCAGCGTGGGCAGCGTCTACAGGCCCAGCCATGGTGGACGGGGTGAGTCTGGGGGGGCCCTGGGGCGGGTGGCAGCTCCCCAGGGTGGGATGGTGCCCGGGTGTTTCATCACCTGGGGAGAAGACATCCTTGAGGTGCCCGTGTCCAGTACCAGTCACTCTCCAAGGATGCTGCCCTGGTGCTATGGGGACAAATGTGACTGAGGGGCTGCCAAGAGGCTGTTGGAGACCCTACATATTTTGGGAATGATGGTGCAAACCAGGGAGGAAAGAGAAGGGGTGCAAAGGAGCAAGTTCCAGTAGGGTCTGGACTTGTGGTGGGTCTGTGCCATGTCCCAGGTTGTCCTACATTTGTGGGGTGGGTCCGTGCTGTGGGATGGGAAGATGCTGTGCTCACGGGGTGGGTCTGTGCCATGTCCCAGGCCTTCCTCCCTGCATGGGATGGCTGGTTGGGGTCACACCATGCTCCTGGGGTGGCCGTGTGACATGTCCCAGGTCATCCTGCATCTGTGGGGTGACAGCGTACTGTGGGTTGGAGACACAACATGTTCCTGGGGTAAGACAGTGCTGTCCTGGCTGTGTGCCCTGTGCTGGGGCACGCTCAGTTGACAGGTGGATCTGTGCTGCCTCAGCCGGGGCTGGTCATATCCATCGCTCACCCATGCTGGCTGCATCAAGGCTGCAGCAGGGGACCAAAGTCGCAGCAGGGACACCGTCATTTCACGTCCTACTGACCCTAATCCTGATGAAATCCTGTGGCTTTTGGCTGAGGCTTGCTGAGAGTGTTTTTGCTCCATGGTGAAATTGAAAGCAAGGCTGGAGGGCGTGAGGAGCAGCAGCCTGGGGGATCTGTTCCCTGCCTGTCCCTTGGGAAACTAATCTCAGCTGGAGCCTCTGACCCATCTGACCCCATAACCCATCCAGCCCCATCCCTGGTTTCTGAGAAAAACCCATCCCAGAGGGTTTGTACTGGGGGAAGCATTCATCCCAGCCCTGCCCCGTTGCGTGCGATCGAGTAAACACAGTGAGAGCAGCCGGGCTAGGTCAGCCCGAGGTCCATTTGGCCTCGCCGAAGATGTGTGGGAAAGAAGTTGGGGACAGGGTTTGTACGGAGAGGATCTTCCTCTGGATCTCTGCTCACCTCGATGGGAGCAGCCGCTTCTGCCAGGCGAGGGATGGAGGGGCAAGGGATTCAGGGATGAGGGATGCTGCAGTCCCGTGTCACCTGGGGACGGCTCCCTGCAGATGACCCGAGGTGATAGAAGGAAATGTGAAGATGCCTGCCAAGCTTATCTCCTCCTGGTTGGCAAAGGCTGTGTCCTTCAAGGATCCCAGGAAGCTGGGCCAGGAGGTGCTGGTGCTGTGACTCTGCCAGGGGGATTGGGGTACCCATGGGTGGGTGGACAACACTTGTTGGCCAATGAGGCCATCAACGGGACGCCCGTCTCTCTGTGCAGGAGCCCCTCAGTCTCCTTCTTCACGTTTTTCCTTAATAAATCTAAAGAAGGGAATAAAAATCATATCACCAGCCCAGGGAGGTGGCTCTCTGGGGTCACCCCACTGCCCGGCCTCTCCTTTAAGTCACCTGCTGCTCTTTCCAGCCAAGGTTTGTTTGTGAAAAGCTGTCACCTCCCTGGGGGTCACCAAAAAAACCTCCAAGCCTGTCACCTTCAGGGCCACCCTTCAGGCAGGTTTCTTAATTGGTCAAAACACTTTATAAAGCCGAATCAGATGTTAATTATGCGCCTAAGCTCTTTAAGAGCCTCCTAATCCCATGGCTCAGTCAGGAATGTGTGGCATTCCCAGCCCCTCGCTGGGGCACCTGGGGGGGTTAATTAAGCAATTAGATCCCACCTGCTTTTATGAGGGGCTTTACTGGGGTTTTCATGTGTGTTGTGGGTCATCCGCCTCCCTCCATCCAAGCCAGTCAATGAAGACGTCTTGGAAGACCAGAGTTGAAATAGTTTCCATTCCTAAATCTGTAGGTGGCCAGGCCATGGTGAAGGTAGGAGAGGAACATCTCATGTGGCTTGGTGAAGGGAGGGGGATAAATGCAGCAAATCAGGCTTTGGCAAAAAGATGGGGAGGAGACACCAAAAGTCTTCATGTCTCCTGCTCAGGACTGCTGCAGAGGACTCAAGTGTCACCCAGATCTTGCTCAGGGCCTGAATCATCTCATGCAAAGGAGGATGGTGAAAGCTGAACTCATGTGGCATCTAAGCCATGGAGGCAGATAGCCCACCTCTCCTTGTGGGGTTCAGCCAAGGTGCCAGTTCCCAGCGGGGCTCCCCACCCTCGACCAACCCCCAAGGAGCCATCTCCAGGGGCTTCCTCACCCTGACCCCTGCCTGGACCCCTCCCCTCTGCTTTGCTCCATCTCCAGTGGGGTTTTTCACCTTGCCCTCATGCAAATGGGTTGCCTGGGGTTCGTTTTTGAATGGGATGGGATTTGGAAATCCCATGGGGTGATGGGGATTTTGGTACCCACTAAGAGTCGTGGTGGCTGTGATGACACCCGAGGATGCTGTCACTCATGGATGAGGCACCTGGGCCAGGAGATGACAATCTTGCTGGGAACGTCACCCTTTTGTGGGCTTGGCGGTGGGTTTGTGTTGATTTTGTTGCTATCTTCAGGCATTTAACAACCAGCTGGGGAACCTGAGAAGATTTGGGGGGAGGATGGGGGGGATGAAGGGGTGTGTCAGGAGGTGCTGGAGGAGGAATGCTGCAGCATGGGATGGGGGATGAAGGGATGAGTCCAGAGGTGCTGGAGAAGGGATGCTGCAGGGCTGGGCTGGGCTGGAGGGGTGCATCTTGGTCGCGTGGGTTTGTCCCCACATCTTTGTCCCTGCTGCTCACAGCCACCCCCTTTGGTGGTCCCTGCATCTCCAGGGCTGGGACACAGCACTGCTGGGCATAGGGAGGCCAAGCAGCCACCCTCTTGGAAAACTGCTGGAGCTGGGATTTTTTGGCTAAGCCCAGCACACCTGCACAAACAGCACGGTGGGGAGCAGGCCTGCCTTTTTTTATTATTCTAATTTTCACGGTGAAGAAGAAGGAAATCTTCTCTGGCAGCAACCCGGGGCAGGCCGAGGGGCGGAGGAGGAAAAACAAACATTTTCTTGCTGTGGTTGTCCCTTTTCAGAGGCGATAGTGGGGGGCTGCCAGGTCCCCTGACTTGCAGGAGATGGAAAAGTGCTGGCTCAGCAAAAAGGATCAGTGTTTGGCCAGCCCTGGATGGGGACAGTTCAGCACCCTGCTGTGATAAGGGGACATTTGGAAGGTGGTGGGGCCACATCTGCCATCCTGTTAACCCAAACAATGCCGGAACTTGTGGTTTGACCCTTTGCTGCCGGGCCTGAGCCGAAAATCAGGCGTGAGACCCTACAATAACAATGGGGCCATCCAGGGCAAGCTCCGTCATGGGGGGAAAATAAAACTCCCCGTTGGTAAAGGAGTCGGGTTTCTCTCTGGAGCGTCCAAGAATTTATTATAAACAACAGTGGGGAGGAAAAGCTGTTTCATAAATGACAAACGTTCCTCTCACAAGCAGGACGGGGCCCAGGGGTCTTTCTCAGTCGCTTTTTTTTATTATTAATTTTTTTAAGGGGGGAGAAAAAGTCTTTCCAAGCTTTTCTGATTTTCCCCCCTGGCGTGCGTGGCCCCCCCTGGGTATTACATCAGCAGCGATGACCAAGCAAGCGGGGCAGGAAACGAGCTCCAATGGAGTGACGTGATCCCTCGAGGGAAGGCAAGCCAAGAAACAAGAAGGCATTGTTCTTTTTGCCCATGGAAAAAAGGGAAAATAGGGATAAAAAAATAGGAGGGAAAAAAAAAGGAAGTGTGCTGGAAAGTGTCTGGGTGCAAGGGGAGGAGCTGGTGTGGCTGAAGCTCTCTGGTCCCCTGAAAGGGGATGGGAATGAGGATGAGGCTGGGGATGGGGATGAGGATGAGGAGACGGATGAGGACAAGAATGGGGGTGAGAATAGGGATAAAGATGGGGATGTGGATGGGGAGAGAGACAGGGATGGGGGTGAAGATGGGGATGGGGACAGGGAGGGGGTTGGGAAAGGGGATGAGGTTGAAAGGTGAGGATGGGGATGGGGATGGGAATGGGGATGAAGATGGGGCTGAGGATAGGGATGGGGACAGACTGGTGAGCTTGCAGGGAGGAGAGATGCTAAGCAGAAGTTGTTGTGGAGCAGGGCTTGGCTTTGCAGAGGCCTCTGATGAGGGAAACTGAGGCACATAGTGCCTGGGGAGCATCCCCTCCATCCTGGTCCTTCTTGAGGGGCAGGTGTGAAGGATGCTTTCCGGGTCCGTGGTCCCAGAGGAGCCTTTGGGAAGGGGAGGTGTGAAAGGGCATTGCTGGGGGGG